GGTCTTATACAGATCAGGCTGGCCCCAAACTTACAATGTAGCCAAAGATAATCTTGACCTTCTGCTCTTCCTGTCTCTGCTTCCTGAGTGCTGAGATTACAGGCAAGCACCTCCACGGCTCACGAATTCTATGCTAGGAACAAACCCAGCGCCTTGTGTATGCTAGGCAAGCGTAGTGAGCTATGTCCTTAGGGCCTGTGCTTTGAATATTTTGAGAAAAGATCTTTCTCTGTAGTCTAGAATGGCCTGAAACTCATCTTTAGACAAGGCTAGCCTCAATTTTTTATTCTGTTTTTGTAACCTCCTGAGTACTAGGATTACAGGGCACCCCAGTGGGTCTTAGCCTCCAGCAGGCTCTTGTTGTGGAAGGAGTTCACATGTTAATGCAAAGACAGGGACACAGGCCTGGATGAATAGCTCCTCCTAGGAAGAGGCCCAGGATGCCTGTCAGCTCCTGATTGGAACTCTACTGGACTCAGTGTCCCTTCTTTTCCCTCCCCACAAACACACACCCAGCGAAAGATCGGGAGGGAAAGGTGGCTTATTTCTTTTTTAAAAGATTTATTTACTTATGTACATGATACTTTGTCTGCATGTCCATCTGCACACCAGAAGACAGCATCAGACAGTTGTGAGCTGCCATGTGGGTGCTGGGAATTGAACACAGAACCTTCGGAAGAGCACTGAGTGCTCTTAGCCACTGTGCCATCTCTTTAACCCAGAATTGTCAGCTGTTTTTAGAACCAATTACATTTTCATTATCGTCATCACCTCAAGTTGCCTCGACTATCGTACTCCTTCTACCTGCTTCAAAACCCACTGATTACTGAGTTCTAGGTTGCCTCTTGCAACTGTCTTTAGTTTTTTGTCCACCAGTTCAACAGACACACACAAATGCTACCAGGCTTTAGAGTGATTAAGACAGAGCATCCCAGGAGACAAAGCAATTACAGATTTTTCGGAATAATTGTGGTGGTGACCATTTTACTTGAGAATGGACTGGGGCTAGATGGCTGTATTCAGGAGCTGTGTGTGCCGGAGGGAGGGGGTGTGTGGGGGGATGTCTGTCCTTCACAGTACTCTCATATTTCCCATGCTGGACAGAGCTTTCATCAGTTTTCAGGAAGCGGAGGGGCTGACCTGGCATTTGTCTCTACCTGTGTGGTGTTCCCTCCTGCTCTAGCCTTCCGGATGGCTGCACTTCCATCCCTGCCCTGACTCCTTTCCCAGTAACCTCTGGGGTCACTGGGACACCCTGTGAGAGTTGGGACAGGAATTCTTGGCTTTTATGGTGTTCTATTTGCAAGAGAGTCGTGATGAACTGGGATTCTAACAAGGAGTCCAGGGCAAGAGCTGAGACGTCAGCAGCACCAAAAGCTAAGCCACCGGTTCCAACATGCTAGTTAAAGGGACAAGGAAAGAGCGGTGCTGCACGCCTTTCAGCCCAGCACTTGGAAGGCAGAGGCAGGCGGATCTCTGTGAGTTCAAGGCCAGCCTGATGTACAAAGCAAGTCCAGGACAGCTAGGGCTCTGTTACACAGAGAAGCCCTGTCTCAAAAACCCAAAAACAACAACAACCAAAAAACAAGGATGGAAAAGCAGAGTTCAGGGTCCCCAAGTTCAGGGTGCTGATATAAACTTCAGGTTTAAATAAAGGAAGAATTGGAGGAAGGAGGAAGAGGCATGCATACTTCAGCACTCCTGGTCAGATGCAATCCCCTGTTTCAGCTCCAGACTGCGGGGCTATCTCAGGAGGCCTTTCCCTCTTTTGATTGAGTGGATCACTTGTCTGATAGGTGTTAGACTGCTTTCCTGGGGGCGGAGCCTCCCAATTCAGGAGAAAGCTCTCTTTTTCAGTGTGGCCTTTGCAGCTCTGGAGGCCTTACTGATCACAAGTGAGGTCCGGTGCTTTTTAGAAAGTTTCTAAGGTTTGGTACAGCAGTGCCATTTGGCGTTTTTGGGAACTACACTGGCTTTCAACATTCTCCTCCATCAGGGACCTGTAATTCCACCCCTACAGCTCTGACATCCATTAGCCCCAGGGCCTGCAAGAGGCCTGGGAGTTGTTTCCAGTTCCACTCTGGGCCACTTTCAAAGCAGGCAGCCTGATTTGAGGTGAGTTTCTACAAGCTCCTGCCAGGACTTATGAGAAGGAGGAAGGACCCTGAGAATGACCTTTCCCATGACCTCCTCTCTTCTTTGAACCTGTGTGGGTTGGTGGAAGGGACTAACGGTTTTCTTCCTCCTCCTTTCTCTAGCTGGTATCATCTCCCTACTGTTTGCATAAGCCTCCTGGCACAGCCTCTGTGGCTGAGGAGACAAATGCCAGCCTAGGCAGACAGGCTCCTTAGGGCTGCTGAAGCTGAAGGGATTCCCAGAGACCGCTAATACCTGCTAGGAGTCTAGCTTCGTCCCCAGACTTCCTTTCTTACTCTGCAAACCTGTGTCTGTCCCACAGTCCCAGGAAAACAGCAGGAAGTGCAATAAGGGGAACTCAGTGTGGCCTTCAACAGAGTCATCTGGCTGCTTCTGAGAACCGTCTCAGGGGCTGGAGGAGTGGCTCAGCAGTTCAGAGTACTGGCTACTCTTCTAGAGGACCCTGGTTCAGATCCCGCATCAGGCAGCTCACCTGTCAGCTCCAGAGCTAGATGGAGCAGCTGCCTCCTGCCTCTTCCAGCACTGGCGCTCATGTGTGTACACTACTGCCTTACGAGAGAGAGAGAGAGAGAGAGAGAGAGAGAGAGAGAGGAAAAGAAGAAAAGACACAAAACAAACAAACAAAACCTGTTCTTGTCCCTGTTCCTTGTGCTTGTTTGGTGACTTGTGGTCACATTGCTGTACTCAGTCCCCGGAGTAGAGCTGTATCAGGGTCTTTCCAGGCAACCCTCCCTTTTGCCTGTGATGTCCGTCTCTCTGCTGGTGATGGGGCTGCTCTCGTTTCCATCGTGAATCTACTAAGCCTTCACCAATAATCAGGGGCCATGCTACTTAGGCCCACGGAGTGTCCTGGGAATGCTTGTTGTTTGTTTTGTTTCTCTGTTCTGACAAGGTCTTGCTGTATGAGTAGCCCTGGCCTCCAACTTTAGGCAGTTCTACTGGAAGGTTCCAAGTGTGCATCCGAGTGTGTGGCTGGGGTGAGTGTTCTTAAGGGCTAGGAAGGGCCCATGTGATGGGGTCGAGGAAGTCAGCGGATGCTGTCCAGAGGAAGCAAGTAGTCAGAGAGAACAGGAGGGGAGGGAAGAGGAGGGAGGGTGGTGTGAGGACAGGGATATAGCTGCTGCAAGACTCAGTGATGGCACCTGGTCAACAGCCGGAGGGAAAACAGGTCGCGGAGTAGAGAGCAAGAGCCAAAACTGGTCTAATCTCCGAGGCCAGGCTCTGTCACATCCCTGGCTTGGCCTGTTTATTTTCCCCACGCTGTGTCCCAGATCCAGCCACTCGTCTGTCTCCAGCACCATGCCCACATGAAGCCCTGAGGTTTCACGGGGCCCACAGAGGGCACTTGGCTGCCTCTTTCCCTGGCTTGCAGATGGCAGCACACCTGGCTGTTTTTCTCTTCACCCCTTGGCAAGATCCATTCTGTCTCTTTGTCTGATGCCTTCCCCTGCCTAAAACCAGTGGCTGCGTCCCAGGCTCATTTCAGGCCCAGCCCAAGACCTATAACTCCCTCTCTGGCAGCTGAGTAATTCTGTGTTTCACAGTAATGCTGTGGTTTCAACTGCTTAAACAAGGGTGGCCTATAACCTTTACCGTGCGGATCTCTCCTCTGACCTCTCCCTCTTTACTCACCATGTCCACTGAGCGGCACAGAACTTTCTCCAAGTCACTCTAATCCAAAGCCAAATTTAGGAATGTTTTTTTCTCTCAAAGTCAGCTCACGGCTCTCGGTGCATTTATGCATGGAACCTGGAAGTATCTGTTACTCTGTTACTTCCACATTCAGAATTGAGTTCTGACACCTTCTAAATGTCCCCCAAATTCACTTCCTGTTCTTATTTAATCATCATCAGCAGCAGCTCAGGCCTGACCACTGATTCTAGTTTGATGACTCCTTCAGTGTCCTACCTCATGCCTCGTGCCCAGCTCACTGTCCTTTATGGGCCAGCTAAGTTTTGCAAGCCAAACACGGTGTCCAGCGTATTCTTATATCTGTTTCACAGTTAAACCTCTCCACTCCTCTACAATGGAAGAACACAATCTCCTCCATCCTTTCTTCCACAACAAGGTCTTGTCTAGCCCAGGCTAGCCTAAATGTATAGCCAAGGATGATGTTAGATTTTTGATCCTTCTGTTTCCAGGATCTTCCTGGTCCTAGCTGTCTTGATCCTCCCCAAGATACTCTGCTTAAAGGTGTGTGCCATCATCCCCTGCTTAAGGGAGAGATATATATTTTCTTGAGAAAGGGCCTCACTTCATATCCCTGGCTGGCCTGGATCTCACTATGTAGACTAGGCCGGCCCAGGATTCACAGAGATCCACTTTTTTCTGCCTCCTAAATGGTAGGTGAAGATGTGTACCACCATGCCTGGCTAGGAAGATGATTTTTAAGAGGCCTACAAGATGCAGCATGTTTTCACACAGCCCCTTTTTTCCCCTGCAAAACTGATGTCTTCTGTGGGTTTTGGGAGGCCCTGGCTTCTTTGCTTGGGCTGAGCCCTGGCAGAGTTCATACCATCATCTCTCAGAGCGGGTGGGATTCTGCACATGGATGATCTTGTCTATTTCATGTTTACTTTTCCTTCAATGTTGGCTCTTACTAACTTCAGCTAGAGAGAGGAAGGTCAATTATCTCTCCTCCCCCCTGTCTTCCCTCCTTAGCAGCCCTGTCCCCTTATCGAAAGCTGCCTGGTTTTGGTTAGTGGCCGTGGTCTGGGAGATGGATGGACTGTGTTTAGGATTCCCTTTTGTCCAGTTCCCTCTCTGTTTTAAGGCTGTGACCCAGGATACTTCCAGGGTGGCTCTTTTTGTGTCTCCTCAGATTTCTTACTCTTCCATTGTAGCCATGGAAATAAAGAAGCCTTCTCTTGCCGGGGAATTCGTCTGGCTGTGGACTGGTTCAGGGACAGAGGACACACCTACATCAAAGTTTTTGTCCCATCTTGGAGGAAAGAGCCATCACGATCTGACACCCCTATCCGAGGTATGCCACACTCTTCTGTGGTCACGTCACCCACCGTGTGGTCCGTTACCTGTTTAGTTGCTGGTTTAGTGTCTGTCTCCCTGTAGCAAAAGGTTCCTGAGACCCCTATGAACACTCAGCATTGCAGCTCGAAGCAGCTCCTCAGAGAAGAAATGCCACGGAAACTGTTGACTAGATAAATGGTTTATAACTTACTTACAGACAAGCATATCCTTTACCATTTATTGTGAATGATTTGTACTACACAACAATCAGGCAGGATCTGAAGGAGACATTCTGTCAGGTAATATTTACTTCTTGCCAAACCCCTCTCCAATCTCTTTGTTTGAAGAAAAGGAAACTGAGACTCAGAAATTATTGTTACTTTTTTTCGCTTTCTGTCTTTGCTGGGGATCAAGCCAAAGGCTTTGCACACGCTGGATAATCATTCCACTCGACAGTCCTTGTTTAGTTTGCATAATCTATACGTTATATTTGTGTGAGGGCGCACGCGCGTGTGTGTGTGCACACTTAAGCATGGGCGCCCTTGGAAGCTTAAACGGGTGTTGAATTACTTGCACGAGAGTTACTAATAGTTGTGAGCCACCCCCTAACGTTGGGCGCTCGGAACTAACTCTGGGCCTCTGCAAGTACAGCCCACGCTCTTAGCCACTGAACCACTCTTTTTTTCTGGTTCCCAGACTGATTTTTTTTCTTTTTTTATTGAAACAATTTTCATGAAATATATTTTTAATCATGTTTTCCCTTCCCCCAGATGCTCCCAGATTCCCCTCACCTCCCTACCTACCCAACTTTCCAGTCTTTCTCTCTTTTAAAAACAGCAAAACCAAAACCAAATAAAAACCAAAGACAGGCAAAGATAAACAAAAAACAAGAAACAATCCCCAACAAAAACACAAAAATGAAAATAAAAACAAACAAGCAAAATAGCCCAAACAAAGCAAAATTAAACAAAAAGTCCACAGATACCAGTGAGTTTATTTTGTCCCTAGTCGGTCACTCCCGGATATGAGGGTTGCCCGGAAATGTCATTGACATACTATTCAGTGAGGCTCCACGGGAGAAAACAGACATTTCCTTTCCCTGCAGCTCTCGTTTGTAGATAACGTCTTGGTGAGGTGTGGGACCCTGTGTCCAGTTTACCTCCTCAGGGCTGGGATAGCATCTGTCTTGAACCTGGGAACCTGGGAACTTGTGTGTGCTGCCACAGTTCATATGTGCGTCAGTCCTGTCATGTCTAGAAAACATGGTTTTCCTCTTAGAATGTTTCTGCGTCCTCTGCATAGATCATTGGGCCGTAAGGGGAGGAGTGTGATAAAGACATCCTACTTATGATAGAGTTTAACACAGTTTCTAATGTTGTATACATTGTCCAGCTGAGGGTCTCTGCTCATTTACACCCACTGCAAGATTCTCTTGTATGGGTTTAGTGAGGAACTGATCTATGAGCACAGAAGTATGTCAGTAGGAGTTATTTTACTGCTATTTTTCCCTAGCAGAAAAACAGTAAGTGGTTTCCCAGTAGGCCTGTGACCTATCTAGTTGCAGACTCTTTGCCGGGAATCCAGTGGCAGTGTCTGCTGCTCCTGTGTCACTTGTGCCATTGTCGAGTCCATGTAGTCTGCAGACAATCACGGTTGCAGGTTTGTAAGAGCGCCGCCCAGTATCATGAAAGCTAGCTAGCAGAGGGGACGCTCACACTGGGCATCAGCCGAAACAAGTTGTGTCTCCCTCGACAGAGCTTTACCATCAAGTTGTGGAGAGTAACCATTAGCCTTGGCAATAGCCTGTGATGTTCGGGTGTTTCCATGGGGCCCTTTGGCTGATGGGATTGTCCTTAATCTGTAGATTGCTTTTGGCAGGACGACCATCTTTATAATATTAACTGATCCATGAACATGAGAGATTTTTTTTTAAGATTTATTTATTTATTATTTATACAGTGTTCTGCCTGCCTATTTCTGTGTTTGTTTTTTTTTAAGATTTTATTTATTTATTTATTTTATGCATATTAGTGCTCTAAGAGGGCAGTAGAGGGTGTAGATGGCTGTGAGCCACCATGTGGTTGCTGGGAACTGAACTCAGGACCTCTGGAAGAGCAGACAGTGCGCTTAACCACTGAGCCATTTCTCCAGCCTCCTATTTCTGTGTTTTTAAAGAGCCCAAAATTCCAATATTCTCGCTATACATCTCTTTTTTTGTTTTTATTTACACAGTATTCTGCCTGCCAGAAGAGGGCACCAGATCTCACTATGGATGGTCATGGGCCACTATGTGGGTGCTGGGAATTGAACTCAGGACCTTTGGAAGAACAACCAGTGTTCTTAACCTCTGAGCCATCTCTCCAGTCCCAAGAGATCTTTTTATTTTCTGGCATCTTCTTCAGTTTCTTTCTTAAATGTCTTAAAGTTTTTATTATACAAGTCTTTTTACTTGTTTGGTTAGAGTTACCCCAAGACTTTTTTTTTTTTTTTTTTTTTGAGGCTATTTATAAAAGGTGTCATTTCCCTGGTTTTTAAAAATTTGTCTGTCATTTGTATATCGGAAGACTGATGATTTTTTTGTGTGTTAATTTTGTAACCTATTACTTTGTTTATCAGCTGTAGAAGTTTCCTGGTGAAATTTTTATGATCATTTATGTATATAATCATATCATCTGCAGATAAAGATACTTTAACTTCTTCCTTTCCTATTTGCATCCCCTTGAACTCCTTCAGTTGTCTTATTGCTCTAGCTAAGACTGCAAGGACTGTATTGAATAGGTATGGAGAAAGTGGGCGTCTTTGTCTTTTACCTGACTTTACTGCTTTGATGTCTCTGTTTAGCTTCTTATTGGCTGTGGGCTTGTAGATTGTATTTATTATGTTGAGGCTTGCCGCTTATATCTCTAGGTTCTCCAGGACTTTTATAGCGAAGAGATGTTGGATTTTGTCACAGGCCTTTTGTGCACCTAATGAGATAACCATGTGCTTTGTCTCTCAGTCTGTTTCTGCGATGAAACATGTTTATTGATTTATGTACATTGAACCATCCTTGCATGTCTCGGGTGAGGCCGACCTGGCCGTGGTTGATGGTCTTTCTGGCGTGCTCACAGATCTGGCTTGCTGGTATTTTATGGAGAATTACTTTTGCACCTGTGGTCATAATGTTCACAGTTCCCTGGGTCTTTGTGTAGCTTTGGTATTCGGGGTAACAGTGGCCTCATAAAAACAATTAAGCAATGTTCCATCTGTTTCTGTTTTGCAGAATAATTTGAGGAGTATTAGTGTTAATTATCCTTTGAAGGTCTGGCCCTGGGCTTTTTTTAGTTGGGAGACTTTTACCGCTTCTACTTCATTAGGGTTTATGGGTATGCTTAAATTGCTTATTGGATCTTGATTTAATTTTGATAGGGCATGTATCTCAAGAAAGTAATCCATTTCTCTTGGGGTTTTCAGTTTGGTGGAGTATAGATTTTTAAGGTACATTCTTATGATTCTCTGAATTTCCTCAGCGTTTGTTGTAATATCTCCATTTTCATCTCTAGTTTTATTAATTTGGATCCTCTTTCTCTTTTGGTTAGGATAGCTGAGGGTTTGCCAGTCTTGTTTACTTTCTCAAAGAAATAACTCTCCACATCAATGATTCTTTGTACTAGCAAACTAAATCTGCGAACATATAAAAAAAGAGTACCTACCATGATCAAGCTGGCTTCATCCGAGAGATGTGAGGATGGTTCACTGCACATAAATCAATAAACACAGTTCACCCAGGGAACAGACCGAGGAGACCAAGTGCTGGGCTTACAGGCACAGACCACCATGGCCCATTGTGCAGTGAAGGATTGGCCCAGGCTTCATGCACAGCAGGGAGCACTCTCCCAGTCCGTCACTTGCCCAGCCCCGTACCTTACGATTTACTGCGGATGGGGTTCACCTCCAAATTAATGAGGCAGGGGAGGAACCCCAGAAAGACGACCTGTTTTATAGACAAGCCTTTTATGGGAGAAAACTGGAAATGGGCAGTGAAAACAGGCAAAGATGGTCAATCCCATTAATAACCAGAAATAAATGCAAAATAAAACCCAGTAAGGGACCACGTTATGCCTAGCAGGCCAGAAAACAAGAGCTCTGCCCCGGGTGGTTCCCCGAATGTCTGTCAGAGGCTCACTTGCTGACAGTACCAAACACGTGGGCATGGCCAGACCATGTCACCATATGGTAACTGGGCAACGAAACGGTATGTAAGTTGGGTAGGAACTATTCAGGGGTAAAGTCCAAGGCAGAACAGCACTGAAAATGGTCCTCAGGGGTGTAGCTGTGAAAATAACAGCCAGGGGGGCTGTCAATACTGTTTTATAACAGGCTATCTTAAGGGAAGAGAGGCTTTTGGACTGGGATGGGCAGCAGGGACTTTCCAGAAATGACGCACCCCCTTCTCGAGTTTATTGCAAGCACTTCCCAGTGTACGTCATGGGCACTCGTGTTGTTTGCGGCAGGGTCTCATGTGACCTTGCACGCCCGTTCCTCCTGTTTCTTCCTCCCGATCCTGGAACTGTAGGCACTAAATAGTGGCGAGAGCCGGTGGCACAGATGCCCATCCCTACGCTCAGGAGGCGGAGGGGGAAGATTGCCAAGTTGGGGCCGTCTAGACACTGTTTAGACAGTGAGAAACTGTCTAAACAGCAGTAAATAAGTCCCTAAGACCCCGTCCGGGTCTGGCTGCAGCAGGGGTGGAGGTGGACGGCTGAGGGGTCCCGGGCCGGGGGCCCTGAGCCGCCTCCCCCTGTGGCCTCAGAGCAGCACGTGCTGGAGGAGCTGGAGCGGCAGGGCGTGCTGGTGTATACCCCGTCCCGCAAGGTCAACGGCCGGCGAGTGGTCTGCTACGATGACCGCTACATCGTCAAGGTGGCCTACGAGAAGGACGGCGTCATCGTCTCCAACGACAGCTACCGCGACCTGCAGAGCGAGAACCCGGAGTGGAAGTGGTTCATCGAGCAGCGCCTGCTCATGTTCTCCTTCGTGAATGACAGGTGAGGGGGCCGCGGTCAGCTCTGTCCCTCCCAGTCGCCTCCCGCTCGTGTCGGGCCTCCCCGAAGGCAGCACGCTCTCAGCACCAGCCCGTGGCCTTTCGGGTCTCACGGCGGACTGGAGCGACCCCTGCAAAGCTGCCGCGGCAGGTGAACCAAAAGTGCGCTTAGCACACGGCAGACTTCACTTTCCGGTCAGATAAGAGCCTCAGGGCGGTCATGGGGCGGGGTGTGTGTGTGTGTGTGGGGGGCGCTGGAGAGATGGCCCAGTGGTTAGGAGCGCTTGTTGCTCTTGCAGAGGACCCAGGTTTGGCTCCTAGGACCAACACGGTGGCTCACAACCATCTGGAACTGCCATTCTAGGGGATCTGGCGCCCTCTTCTGGCTTCCATAGGTACCAGGTCTGGGTGTGCTACACACACACACACACACACACACACCCACACACACACACACACCCACACACACCCACACACACACGAGGCAAAACACATACATAAAACATAAATCTGAAAAGCAAAAACTTAAAAAAGTTATCATGAAGGGGGATTTCAACTTCATTGTCTTTCCTCTCAGGTCTTTGTCTTTTTGAAAACACTGAGGATAGGAAGATGGTGGCTTGGTGGTTAAGAGCGCTTGCTGCTCCTGCAGAGGACCAGAGTTCAGTTCTCAGCACCCACATCAGCCAGCTCCCAACCGTCTGTAACTCACGCTCCAGGGGACCATGCACTCACATAATCGAACTCTCACGCAGACGTGCATACCTGCACATAGTTAAAACAATACAAATAAGTCCTTAAAAACAAAACAAACACTGACTGAGACACTCTTCCACATCCCAGGCTAGCCTCAACTCCTGCAGAGAAGGATCTCCTCCTGCCTTACCTTTCAAGTGTTGCCATGGCAGATACGGGCCACCACGCCCGGCCCAGTTCACGCCATGCTGAGGGTCCCCACGGCCCAGCGCTTTGTGCGTCCTCCCTACCTACTGAGCTCCAACCCCAGCCCTTCGGCTTCTTTCCAGGCAAAAACCAATGGCCTCTCCCCCTGGAGCCTCTCACTGGCCTTATGGTGGTTTGACACAAGGTCTTTGGCCCTCTGCTGACCAGCCTGCCTGTTCAGTCGCCAGCTTTCCAGCGCGCTTGGCACAGTAGACGCATGCTAACTAACGACACAGGAGTGGACGGATGCATGAAGGAATGACATGGGCCAGGCAAAGAGGGGATGGACGGAGAGAAAGAGGTGTCCCAGGCCTGCTCAGTCCGCTGGCCTCTAAGAGACAGAGCTTGCCCCCAAAGTCAGGGAGGTAGGATGGTGGTCAGAGCTCGCTAAAGCTTTGGACCCTATGCAGTGGTTTCCTCAGAGGCCTTGTCCTGCTGAAGTGATGTGAATACTAGAGAGAATTGTATCCTATAAGGGGTCAAAGTTATTCCCCGGGGGCAGGTCTGGACATGCCTCCCTCACCAATGTCACCTGAACCCCAACGCCAATGCTTCAGCAGCTGCTCTGCAGTAACCCTCACTGCCATGTCTGGATTCTAAGCTCGTCTAGAGGAATCTGGCAAGCCTGGAAACTAGATTCCAGAAATCCTCACCGAGGGCTGATGGGTAATGGTTGCCTCTGGCCTGGTGACAGCCAGGAGCCCTGGCCCCCTGCTAAGAGGGTGGGTGTGGGTCAGAAGTCTGGGACTGACTCCCTGTGAGTGTGAGGGTGCCTGCTTCAGTGCCCTGGGCATGTCCACAGGGCCCTCTTGGCACAGCTCTTGCTCCTAAGAGAGAGGGGGGTAATGCCTTTGAGAACTTTTAATAACTGCAATGGGCGGCTCCCCAGATTCTTGGTCAGGTCCCAGCTCCACGGAGAGACCAGCTGTGTGGCTGGAGCTGAGCCCAGAAGTCCTCACTGGGTCAGAGGTCACTCAGCTCTCTGCAGGGTGGGACCCACCAGACTCCTGGGAGACAAGCTGGCAAAGACAGCCCTTCTCCCCCTTTAGAACCTGCCTCTTTAGAACTTTTGTATGGCTTGGAAGGCGCTCCTGGAAACAAAAGGACTGATTGGAAACAGGATCTTAGCAAAAGGGAGAGGTTTCTGTTTGTTTTTATTTATTTCTCAGAGGCATTTTGGTTTTATTTTGTGGTACTGACTCAGTGCTTTGTCTGTATTTGGCAAGCACTATATCAAAAGTGGAAACTCTCTTTTAAATTTTTATTTGAATTAGGGTCTCACTGAGTTACTCAGGCTGGCCCGAATGCACAGTGCTCCTGCCTCAGCTTTCCCAAGAGTGGGATTACAGGTATAAGGGACTAACACTGAGCTTTTGAGGCATTTTTATCCTCTGCTTTGTGCCCTGAGCATATGGAACACACATTGCCTTCTCTGTTGAGGCTC